GGGGGCTCCCTACAGTACACAAGATTATTGTGGCTGCCACAAGATAATTAAAATGATGCTAAAAAAACAGTGTGCACAAATCAATTCAATAGTAAAGTCATAAATATTTTAACCTCTAGGCTTTCTCTCATAATTATTAAGGTGAATTTGTTCCAAGAAGCCAAATTAAAAACCCTCATTTGGTCCTCAAGTTTATCGTGCATTGGTGAAACTGCAAATGAAAAGAACGTTCATTTGAAGATTGTGGCCTTAAGAAGCAATAAAGATGATCTCTGTTTAAAAAAATAATAAAAAATTACCTGGGGCAGTTTGGAAGTAAATCGCCTATGATATTGCAAGCTTCTTTTTCCTCAAGGGCAGGACATCGCTTCCCCCCGCCAACTGTGATCTGAGTCATGATCCGTGACCGGAGGCGGTAGCCAGGGGATAGGTCGGTAGACCGGCAGGTCTTAGAGCAGGGGCTCCACGATGACCAATCGGATGTCTGACAGTCTTTGGGGATCACGCATGTTTGGAAGGTCAGTGGGGATTTGTCCTTCGTACAGAGGCTGCAGATTGAGGAGAGTAAATTACTGTCACGTCAAGGAAATTTTATTTCATAACATGATATCTTTGTGACCCCTTTAAAGTTTGAGAGTGCAGTTGTACACAAAGCAAGCTATAAATAGATGTTGTTGGGATTTAATTGGATTTGCCGATGGAGAGGTATGAGACCCTATGAGCAAGTGGTTATGTTGATTTGTTGTTGAATAAATGACCTTTACTTCTTCCACTCAAGAATTTAAAGTACATCCTGTTAACACAGATCTCAAGACAAAGTCAATCTTTTACACAAGTGCCACAAAGAGCTGATATGCTCACTCAGAGATGTTAACCAAGCACAAGCACAAGTCATTAGTCATGATTTTAATGCTATTATCCCATTAAACTGCTGCTGCTGCTGCTGCTGTTCAACCCACTATAGTGCCAAACCATGTAACTGACCCATACGTCCTCTGCACGATAGTTTTTTGTGTGACAAAAACTAAAAGAGTGACATGGAAATAAATGGAAATGAGAGTTTAAAAAAACAACAACAATATCACATGGCACAAACACTGATCTCCTGGGGAAAAGTACAGTCAACTTGTACCAGTAGTAAATCTGGGACTGCCAAGAATTGACTTTTGTCGCTCTATCAGAAAAAAGCTCTATCAGCAAAAGCTCATGTGTGATCTATTTCACCACTGTATAATGACCCCATAAATGAAGTCATAACCCAGTGAACCATCTAGGTGGTGGTGGTAAGCCTAAATCAGCCATATCCTTAGCTACGATAACCAGACTATGGCCATTTAATAGGCTAATCCCAAACGAAAAGCACATGTTTTCTCATCCAATTACAGTTTTTGTTGGCTAATCTTGCAAGTTGAATTAGTCAGGTTATTGAGATACAAGATCATTTTTAGACTTTCTCCTTGTAATGAGGCTGTAAGTTGAGAAAAATGAAGCACAATACACGTGGGAAATCTATTTCAAAAGCGCCACACCTCCTTAGATAAAATAAGTGCTAATCAAGCAATGCAAAATAAAATCCTTTTTTCAAACCACACACACAAAAAAAAACATGTCAGTGAAAAGAGATGTGTGGCAAGATAAACGACTTTTAAACTACTCTGTCCAAAATGGCAACAAGCAAGAGCAATCACAAGAAAATTGATATGACAATTAAATGCTGTACAACTTCAATGCAGTATGCCTTATTATAAATAAAAAAGCAATATGGAGCAATAAAAAGGCTTAATTGAAACAACATGATTGAAATGTGGTCTCTGAAACAATGATGGCAGTCAGAAATGGATTTTAACAGCCAGCTAATAGTGACACTTTACACCAAGAAAATGGTATAGTGGCATTTAATCAATGTAATATACATGCAATGATTTTCTTTCTGTATGAGAAAAACAAAACAAAGCAAAAAAACACAAGACAGAATGTTGTTTGTTATGTGTATTTGTGTTTGTGTGTGTGTGAGACACAGCATGTGTAGGTGTGCATTTGTGTGTGCTCTGCTTTTTGCTTTGTGTGCGAGTACGTGCAGAAAAATCCATTCTTATCAAATCCAAATACCAAGGTTAGCTCTAACAGCAGAGAGTGGAAGGGGGGCAACACTTGACATTTAACACAATAATGCCTCCCTTCCTTGCTGAAATGCTGGTCAAACATCAGCCCTCATATAATCTAGTAATAATTGAATAAATAACCACCATCAATAAAAACCATTCTATTTCACTGAATACATCTCATGAGAGGTGGTGAGCATTGATTATGCCTCTCTTTTATTTAAAAAAAAATGTCCATTAGGATTATTTTGCCTGACAGACAACAACATTCAGCTCCTATAATTTTTAAAACTCTCCATACGCTTTATCAGAGGAAAAGTAAACTGATGAAAGAGAAACAAACTACAGGTATTTCCTTTCATTATTAAACCTGCAAACATTTCCGCTTGGATACAGTACAAAAAAAAAAAAACACACAAGAAGAAAGAAATATTATACAGCACTGCTGTTTTCATATGAGAACAAATCAGGTGCACCACAACATTTATCACACCTTGAAATCCAGAAAATTAGAATCCAGGGTTCTATTTGGTGCAAATTCTTAGAATGTCCTTAGGGGGTAACAGGTGGAATCAGTCTTTCTATACCATTGAGGTATGTGGTCTGACAGAGGGAAAAATGGGTTTGTGGATCCCAGTGGGAAAAAGAAACGAAAAGCAAACTTTTTTACATGTATGGTTGATTTCAAAGAACTGCCAATTCTTCCAGGATTGATTGCCCCAGCAATGTCAGCCTTAGAGCAGTGCATCTGAAAAACAGTTTCTTGTAAAGCCTGCATTTTATTCTAGGATGAACAAACTGTCTTTGTCAAACTGTAAGTGTATACTATCTGATAAATATTTCAGAAATTTGAAAATCATGGGGGATGTGTCAGGAGAAAGTATTTTGCCAAGCAACCATAGGGGGAGAGAAGGGGTTTTTTTTGCAGTGGGGGGTTAAATAATGTACTCTGGAAAGACAAATCCAGCATACAACTTTTTGAGGGTGGTTAAAGTAGATGTGTTTGGCGCAGACCAAAGACAGCTTTCAAAAGGAGCATTTTTCAAAACTGAAGCAGGCACGTGCAGAGGGGGGCTAGAGGGGCTTGAGCACCCGCCCCTTTCCTGATGGGTGCCCAAAGTGCCCTTTTGTTGAGGCAACTTTTTAAAAAAAAATTATTTATTTATTTATTTATTTATTTTTTTTATGTGTGTGTGCGTGCGGAGTCCTGTCTGTGCCCCTCAACAATAATATTTAACTATTAATCACAGTTTTGCTAAATAAAAGGATCTGGCTTGCATCAGTCACATGATCACATTTAACCAATGATCGCCCTTGACGGCAGAACGCGCTGGTTACGAGCCGGGAACGAGCTCACAAAGAGCACGCGCATTTTTAGCGGTCCGGAGCTGTAGGAGAAACACAAGTTAACTCAGAGACACAGACTGATGCGACAAAACCAGTAAGTAGGTGTACAGCGTACACTGTAGTGTGTAGCACACAGGAGTATTAGCTTATTACGTACACGTTGGTAAGCTGTCTTGTTGCAACTGACGAACTGAAACAAACGAGCGTGCTGTGTGTGCAACAGCGCGACAAACATTACCTGTCCTTTTATTAACTGCACAAGTAGTGCTGGTCATAGCTGCTGGCTACCGTGTAAGGCTGTCATGGGTCTGTAGCTCTGTCACCGTTTTAGGGAACATATTTAGTTTTAAAGTAAGTTTCCGGGCTTTTCCTGCCTTTCTGGAGGGATTATATTTCACTAAAAAACGATCTAATATGCATGTCCACATAATTATGCATTATTATAATTATAATATATTAAAAACACACGCTGTATTTTAAAGAACATACATTAAGAAGCAGATTATATTAGATTTATATTTTAAATAAGACAAAATTTGGATTTTACAGCAGTAAAATTATTGTATCTCTACAGTTTAAAAATGTAATAAGCTTTGCCCTGCACAGAGTGGATAGTGAAACAAATGGAATCATCATAAATACATTATTTCATATTTATTACTTCCCCCTCCTCATTGCTTTATTATTGTAGCTCTAGTAATAAATAATAATGTAAGGATTCTGGATCAGCACCATGATGCCCATAGTATATACAGTATTCTGAAGAAGGTCTAAAATGTCACTGTGTGTGCGTGCATGTGTGTGTTTTATTTAGATGGATTTTTAAAAAAAATATTACTCATGATATAACATTGTCCAGACATGGCTGGTAAGGACATGAGGAGGAAACAGCAGGAGCTGTGTGAGGCTACTAAAGGCAGTGCTATAACATTTTTCTGTCATCATTTTATTATAGATTAAGTGCAAGAGTTGTTAGGTGTGGATAATTAGATTATAGTTTATTGCAATAGCAAGTTGTGCCTTGTTCTCACATGAGCAAGTGGAGAGTGATATATGAAATGATGGGATGGAAGGAAGAAGAGAAGCAAAGAGTGATTCACAGGCAGAGCCTATTACAGGGAGTGCAGAATTATTAGGCAAATGAGTATTTTGTCCACATCATCCTCTTCATGCATGTTGTCTTACTCCAAGCTGTATAGGCTCGAAAGCCTACTACCAATTAAGCATATTAGGTGATGTGCATCTCTGTAATGAGAAGGGGTGTGGTCTAATGACATCAACACCCTATATCAGGTGTGCATAATTATTAGGCAACGTCCTTTCCTTTGGCAAAATGGGTCAAAAGAAGGACTTGACAGGCTCAGAAAAGTCAAAAATAGTGAGATATCTTGCAGAGGGATGCAGCAGTCTCAAAATTGCAAAGCTTCTGAAGCGTGATCATCGAACAATCAAGCGTTTCATTCAAAATAGTCAACAGGGTCGCAAGAAGCGTGTGGAAAAACCAAGGCGCAAAATAACTGCCCATGAACTGAGAAAAGTCAAGCGATGCAGCTGCCAAGATGCCACTTGCCACCAGTTTGGCCATATTTCAGAGCTGCAACATCACTGGAGTGCCCAAAAGCACAAGGTGTGCAATACTCAGAGACATGGCCAAGGTAAGAAAGGCTGAAAGACGACCACCACTGAACAAGACACACAAGCTGAAACGTCAAGACTGGGCCAAGAAATATCTCAAGACTGTTTTTCTAAGGTTTTATGGACTGATGAAATGAGAGTGAGTCTTGATGGGCCAGATGGATGGGCCCGTGGCTGGATTGGTAAAGGGCAGAGAGCTCCAGTCCGACTCAGACGCCAGCAAGGTGGAGGTGGAGTACTGGTTTGGGCTGGTATCATCAAAGATGAGCTTGTGGGGCCTTTTCGGGTTGAGGATGGAGTCAAGCTCAACTCCCAGTCCTACTGCCAGTTTCTGGAAGACACCTTCTTCAAGCAGTGGTACAGGAAGAAGTCTGCATCCTTCAAGAAAAACATGATTTTCATGCAGGACAATGCTCCATCACACGCGTCCAAGTACTCCACAGCGTGGCTGGCAAGAAAGGCTATAAAAGAAGAAAAACTAATGACATGGCCTCCTTGTTCACCTGATCTGAACCCCATTGAGAACCTGTGGTCCATCATCAAATGTGAGATTTACAAGGAGGGAAAACAGTACACCTCTCTGAACAGTGTCTGGGAGGCTGTGGTTGCTGCTGCACGCAATGTTGATGGTGAACAGATCAAAACACTGACAGAATCCATGGATGGCAGGCTTTTGAGTGTCCTTGCAAAGAAAGGTGGCTATATTGGTCGCTGATTTTTTTGTTTGTGGAGATGTTATATTGGTTTCACTGGTAAAAATAAATAATTGAAATGGGTATATATTTGTTTTTTGTTAAGTTGCCTAATAATTATGCACAGTAATAGTCACCTGCACACACAGATATCCCCCTAAAATAGCTAAAACTAAAAACAAACTAAAAACTACTTCCAAAAACATTCAGCTTTGATATTAATGAGTTTTTTGGGTTCATTGAGAACATGGTTGTTGTTCAATAATAACATTATTCCTCAAAAATACAACTTGCCTAATAATTCTGCACTCCCTGAATATTTCTCACAGTTTTTTGTTGCCTTATGGTTCCAAGCGCTGTCACCAATCTTTGCATTTTGTTATTATCTCATGACACTTGTTTAATCAGCTACCATCTCTCCTTGGACTTTTTAATGTCTACAGTCTCAGATCAACACAGCCCTGCCCTCCCATATTAGATTCTTGATGAATGTGTGTTGTTGTTATTCAGCCTGGTTCAATGTGCCCCTTTTTAACTTTGAGCACCCGCCCCTTTAAACCTCTCTGCACGGCCCTGCTGTGAAGGATGGCAAAGAAAATGTTATAGATTCTAATGCAGCACAGTGCCGGGGACCTGAAGATTTAAAGTACAGTAAGAAATCTACCAAGAAAAGTTTAAACGATCATGCAACTGATGGAATTTTGCATTGAAGAGTTGTGAAGTGCTAGGGTGGCCACTTTGGGGGCATAATGACTGAAAAAAGGCATAAGTATTCCTAATTTTTGTGAAAAATGCATCAATATGTCTCAACTTCAATCCACATTACCATATTAAGATGATTTTCCTATTCTTTATGGTTTGAAGCATGTTGCTTACCTCAGCATAGCATTTTTGCCATCACTTCTTGTGCAGCGAACATGTCGTGTCTGGTATCCCACCTCTAGTTCCCACGACGCGGGGTACTTAATGTGCGCATGAGCAAGGTGGTGGTGGGTGTGATGGAAATGCTGGTGAGAAGCTAGTGTGTGCAGCGTGGCTGTGTTGTTCTCGTTGGACATAGTACTGAAGTCCACTGTGGTCCTTCCACTTAATAGCGCATCCTTGTGATGGGGCATTCGGCACTCACTCCAGGCCCCTACTTTAAGGCTGTACTGGTACTCGTCCTCCCCAGCCGGGCAGTCAACATGGCTAGAACAAGTCCTGGTCTCAGTTAGGTTGGGGCAGTTTGCCCCTCCATACATTGATGTGGCCAGAACATGTCGAGTCCGATGCTGCAGGCCAGCACCGCAGGTTTTGCTGCAACTTGACCAAGAGTTGAAGTCTGAAACCACACAGTCCTGGGGGCAGGGGACAAGGCATGCCTGCTCCACAGGTGGTTTTTGGGAAAAGAATTCACATATCCTCGAACTGACTGTGGTTCGATTTGAGGTGCGTACGCAGTAGACTTTGCGCCTCTGGATCCCATGCTGTGCTGTAATGCACTCAGTTGCCCTCAACTTGAGCTCATTGGAAAAGAAAGGAACAAGAACACAGCTCCCCCACTCTGACGCCTCCCACTCGAAGAGGTCCTGGTGCCAGTCGCAGACTTTAAAACACTGTCTCTGGCTTTCTGGTTTCTCCATGTGATGGCAGTGGGAGTGATGGGTGGTCCAGCCCTCCATGTGGATGCACCATATTGTCCTTGTCTGAACCCCACCAGAGCCACACTCCTCACCGGTACACTGACCCCACTGGCCTGCAGCAAAGAAAAAACACACAGAGAGGGCATTTTCATTAAAAACTGAAGCTTTCGGGGAAAAATGATTTAAATTGCAGCAATCTGGCAGCTTGCAATCAAGCAAAATTCAAGGCCATTCACTTAACCTCCATGATTGCTTTATTCATGAACTGAGGAAAAAAGGAACAAAGGAACACAAAGTAATCAAACCAGTGGCGGACATCAATATAAAGAAAATACAAGATCAGTTTCTTGGTCACAAGGGATTAAATTCATTTTTAGGTTCTTGAGCTCAAACTGATCAGTATTTTTGGTCATGTATAGTATGGTTAGGAGTTCACTTGGGTATTATGATAAGATATGCTATTAACTTGAATTCTGCGGGCCGTTATTATCATTATTATAATTTGTATTATTACTTCATTACAACAAAGCCTCTCCTTTAACAGTAAAAGCATGCAAATGCTTAAATGTAATGTCTGCAAAGGTGAAATGGTGTACAATGGTGATTTTAAGAGATCTTTCAAACAAAAATGATAAATTAGATGCTTTTGAACTTGTTTAACAAACCATAAGGTTGAATTGTCTTAATATGTCAACCAATTAACCAGTGCTAGCAACATTTAGGAAAGAAATTTCTGCTTAATAATTAAGGAAATGTAATATTGATCACTCAAAAGGGTCAGCTCACAAACACCCAGTCAGATATTTTTGTCTCAGAAGATCTGAGTCACCTGCTTTCAAAGAACTATGTGAAATGGCAATGAACTCTTTACTCACATTAAGGGATGGTGGCAAATAATGGGTGTAAATTCAGAGGCACACAAATAAATATAAATAATATTTGAAGACCCTTGTTGTTGTGAATACAGAAATTCTTTGGTTCACATCAGGTAACTATAACCCAAAAAGTTAGAAAGAGATGGGTGTGTTAGGGGAGTGGCTCAAAGCTAAGACATTAATCCAGAGGACTAGGGTGTCTAACCTGTGTCGGGACTTTTTCAGTTTCTTGTTAATTAGCTAAGGAATAAGTGTATCTTAAATCCCCAATCATTTTAGAAATGCCAAAAGAGAGTTAACCGACTCTCTCCTTGGGGACAGTGCCGTATTTGACTGAACTCTCTACAACTCCACTTCACAATTCACCTATGAAGTCTTTATTGCCACGTATTCACCTTAAAATATAATGGCTCATCAAAATAATATCCAAAATTGGCTCTTGATTTGAATTTTTTTTTTTTTTTAATGCATTTCTACATCATTTTAACCTTTTGCATGCTCTGTTACATTACGGTCATTTCAAAAATTTCTGTCTGTTGATGAAATTGGCCTCAAAGATGTGTTTCCAAAAACTTCAAACAAGAGGTGAATTTTTTTGGGGGGTATTCTTTTTTTTTTGTCACAGCTTATATATTATAAAACTGTTTGGTATTCTGCAATCTAACCCATCCATTTTCTTTCCCTTATCCAATTCAGGGTTGCAGGGGTGCTGGAGTCCATCCCAGCTACCACAGGGAGAGAGGCAGGGTACACCCTGGTCAGGTGGCGGGTCTGTCACAGGACCAACACAGAGACCTTTGCACTCACATTCACTCAAGTATAACAGTGCTCTTTAATTCAATTTACATTGCAAACTTTGAAATATACATCGTGAGCAAAAATGATTTGAATGTTTTGCTTAGTCATGTGTTTGGAGGCTAAGGTGACTGAGAAGAACCGTAAATTAATACGCATAAAAATGCTCATTCATGTAAATTAAATTAGGACATAGAATAGAAACTTTATTTATAGACATTCATCCTATTTGTAGTGATGTGGTTCACTTCTGGGACCTAAAGCGAAACTGCAATCGACAGTCACTACTTTAGAACATTGTTTGTGCTTGAAGTCATTTCCCTTTTCAATAAATGGTGGAAAACACTTTGAGGTCAGAGAAGGAGCAAAATTGTAGATACCTTTTTCCATTGTAAAAAAAATCACTCAGCTTCAAATTGTAGCCTAAATTCTCCTCTCAATTGACCTCAGACTACTTCTGTTTTGATGAGAAGTACAAACCTTCATCTAAGGCCAGGTTTATGTGTTGGAACAAAAAAAGAAAGAACAGATTATACAGTACAGATGGCAGTTATGAAAGTGACATGAACTCTGTAACATTTTAGTTATTAACTTATTTATTTATTTATTTATATATGAAGGCATGATATTTTAAGTGATCTTGATGTTGGTTAGCTTCAAAGGCAGCTATTCATTTATAGACTACTGCACTGTTTCAGAGGAACATATTTCACGCAATCATACATGGAGATTTCCTTTTGGATATTAAGGCTATTAATTTTGCTAGAGCTGCATCAGACCCTCATCATTTTATTCAAATAGGACTTTTTTTTTTAAATTAATGAGCCAATCATATTTGTAGTTAAATATGTGACAAATATATTGATGAATATTACCAAAAAGAGTTGTATCAGATGCTGGGGTTATTTTCTTCATCTGGGGTTTTAGTTACAAACAATGCAGTGACATTTGTATTTAAATGTAACAAATATATAGATTATGTGTCAACAAAAACAGTAGCCGATTGTCGGTTTTTATAAAATGTTAAGTTTTGAATACCAAGCCCAACAAATCTTAAATACATTTTTAACCTCTTTGTCCTCATCATTAAAAGAAGTAGACATAAATCAATTTCCTGATATGATGTGATTATCTTCGTCAGTCACGTTCTTAGTTATTTTGCCACATGCTATGAAAAAGATAATTTGATTCATTTCTTCTAATTGGAATTAAATTGATGTAATAATGAGATCCTACTGCTTCCCAAATTGCTTTCGAATGACAACCTGTTCAAACTGTTTTATGTCTTTTCATGCCAGAGAAATCTGTTGTTAACACTTTGCTTCCTGGCCTATAGCTAGCATTTTAAGGCTTCTTTGTTTGTTTGCTTAAAGTAGGAATAGTCTAAAGTACACATTTTTATTCACAGTTCATTGAAGCACAATGTTGAGTTTCTTTGTCCTGGCACTGTGATGCTAATGAGACTGTCACTAATATATTATTATGATCAAAGATCATAGATCATGTTTGCATCAAAGGTACAACGTATCAAACTGAAAATGCTGCTGCTGCTGAAGCTCTAAAGGTAGAAATACAGTTGATTGTGATACCATGTTTCTTTTTGTTGTTTGCTTGTTTCTTCTAACACTTTATTTTTGTTCTTTTTGTTAAGATAAAAAATCAAACACAAGAAAGGGCATTTCTTTTCACTTGTTTCCAAAAAAATCAAAACATAAACACAAAAATAAACAAGAAAACAAATGAGATGTTTTATTTCATTGGTATGTTGGACTTGAGTGTCCTATAGGCTCTCTTTGGCTATTTGCTCACTTATGTTTGCACAGAACTCTTCAAAATAAAGTTTCTTTCTCTTTGCTGTTAAACAGTGAAAAAAACGCATGGGGCATATTGAGAAACAAAGACAGACCCAGTAATTGCTTCAGAATTTGATTAAAAAAAAGAATGACAGAGTGTTTTAATCTTCCAACAGACCCACTCCCAGAACCACATCACGTATCGGCCACTGCAAGTCACACAGAGCATTTAAACTTAACATATTATGCAACTTTAATTTACAGTGAGATTTTGACACTGCAAGGATGAATAAATGAATTCCTGATTTGGCTAAAAACTCAAAAAAAGCTAAGTGCAGCATTTTAGATGGAAATAAACATATGGAGTTGTATATACATTTTCATGTAAAGAGGTGCAATTACCTTACCGTTTGTGTCTGGTTCAGTAAACACAGAGGTTGTTAAATGTAATTTGAATGTTTTCTGCATATTTCAAAGTGAAAAAAGTTTGCACCGTCTGTGCTTCATTAGACGTGCAGTTTGGCTTGTTTATTTGCCTTTTTATACCTCATTGGAGATACCATAATGATTTGGGATTAAGCAGACGTTTATTGGAGAGGGGCTGTGGTTGTTTCTGTTACAGCACTACTTTACTCACTACTTACACTTTGGGACCTTTACACTTCAGTCAAAGCTGCCAAGAGTTCAGAAGTTACAGAAATACAATTTGAATAGTTAGTCAAAATTAAGGTTACAGATGTTCAGGGTCGCAAGCACCCATGTTTCTTCCAAGTAAGCATACAGCCTTTGTGGTCACTAGTGGCACTCTTTCATGATAAACACCCTTTCATCGGCATGACCACCTTTGCTCAATAGTGCTGTTTTCAAACTGTGCCAGGGTGTGAGTGCTTGATTTATGGAGGTGTGATTGGGAGTGATTCTGCTGCAAGGGGAGCCAGCTAACACAAGCACTAGTTCATCTTCTAAGCTCTGAATAATCACTCTCTCGATCTGTCAGCATCTGTCAGCCCCTCAGGAGGAACCAGTTGCCCACAGCTCCTTCATTCCCGTCGCACTTAGTCGCCTTGCTCGCACCTCTGGGGGCCCCAGCACCCATTGAGCTCCTGCTATATTTACCATTCAGTTTGAAAACTGAAATTGAATGAAGCAAAAGCAGATGAGCAGACATCACTACATTATGGGAAAATGCAGAAATTAAACTTAGCCAGTGTAGTGTGACTGAACACGTATTATCTTCCTCAGCAGCGTTCAGTTCAACCCTTAAGTTAGACAAATGATGCTAAAGCTGTACGATAATAGCAAGTAACACAACAAAAGCAATTTCCACTCTGCCCCGAAACCAGACAGATGAGGGAAAGAAGCAGCAAAGAAAAGAGCAATAAACTGTCTCCTAAACAGCAACCGCACTCGCTACTGTTGAAATGCTTGGCTCTCTTATCCATTTAATTACATTTGGTAAAGGCATCACTGATTCAGGTCAGTGGGAAAAAAAACACCCTGTAGGATCACAGGCTGGTGTACTTGCTGTATGAACTTCTTTCGGCTATTTTAGGTTTGTTAATGTATAACCTACAGAAATGCATATATGTATATCGATCTATCTATCAATCTATCTAATATCTATCTACCTATATATATATATATATACAT